TTGAAATTAATGATCCAGAACCTCAAATTTAACTTAAAATTAAATCTCTCATCCATGCCACAAAAAATGTTCTCATGTGTAAAAGAAATGAAAACAAAAATAAAAGACAACTCTGTTAGAATCTGCTGGAAAGAATGAATGGGAAAGATGTAGCCAGTTCTCTTCACCGATTTAAGGATGTATTCAAAATGTCGTAATTTACTGCATTTACTTTGAGTTAAACTAGCAGTTCACAAGGGAAGGGATGCATTGAGGCATTTAGAAGATTTTCATCAGCTAAATATTTTCTTTGCACCTGCCCTTAACCAAAGCAATGCAGGTGCTTCTTCAGAGCTCAAACACCAGTCACAACTCATGAATAGGCACATGATAGATCATAAACCTTAGTTACATGGGCATAAAGAGGACCTGGTTTTCCTCCTGACAACAGTGGCTCAAATCTCTCAACTGGTTCCGGCTTTCATTTCAGTATCTGCTTCCATAGGTTCCCCAGATTCTTGTACCCAACATAACTGTTTTCCTGACAATGTTGCTGAATCTCTGACAACAAAAAATATACATGAAATGGATTAACCAACTGAAGGGTGAAGAAGAAGAAACAGGACTTTATGAATCTGTATTGTTTGCCAATGGAGCTCTAGTAATCAATTATTAGCCTTAGGAGTGGCCACTTACCGCTCTAATCTGTGATCAGCTCCTGATTCTGACTGGGCTACCTCTGCTGGAAACCTCAGACCTTTGATTAGAGACAGCAGGAATTCCTCCTTTGTTCTCTAACCTGTCTGGTGAAGGATGTATGCTTCTAGACAGAGGCTTTACCAAAACAAGAAATCACTCGGGGATAAAAGTGATTGAAAGAGAGACAGCAGCACAGCATTTGCAGATTACTGACTTGTCTCATTTGAACATTGGGAAAATTCCATTTCTTGGCAAAGGTAAAGATTTAGGAAAGCTGAAAGGAAAATTTAAGTCCTCATTTATCTGTGCTTGGATATCCTGGGCAATGGGATCTATCAAATCAGAAAGAAAGAGCTAAAGCTTTTCAGCTCTGCTGAGTGAAACCTGGATTGAATCAGGCAGATTCTTTTAGTAAAGCATGACGAACTATCAAATACCAAGCCTTAATGTCTTCCAAGGCAGTATAAAGATGCAATGCTACAAACTAGTCAATAAGATGTAATTCTAATGCAAGTTGAACTTCATTCCCTTTAACTACGCATCTTTGAGTAAAATGTACACTTCATGCTTTGGGCAGTGAAAAAGAATGGGTGAATGGAAGAGTTCTAGAGTAAAACCTACCAGATCCTAATATCTGACTTCAAATGCTGGTAACAGAGCCCCACACTTCAGCATTTTTAAGATTCTAACATTTTCAATCTAATCTAATTCTAATCTCATGCCTTAGAGTCAGAGTAGCGATCAGCTGAGAATATTCTCAGGGGTATTTATTACTTACCATCTTGGAAATGTATCATTGCTATCAGATTTGCTTATTTCAGTGCTCTCTGCCTATAATTAACCATAAGAATGTAAAATTTTAGCAGAATGACTAAAGATCACTGCATGTTCACTCTTGTATTAGCACTAGCCTCTTTTGGTCTTCACATTCTTGGGTGCTATGCACGCAAAGTTACCTCAGCTCTTTACAGTTCTGGCATACAGCGTTTCTCTTTGTGTCTGTGTCCAACCAGGCTACTGTCTGGTATACAAATGAGAATTCCGAGAACCAGAAATCTACAATTGGCCTCGCTGCTATTTGAAAATTTGTCTACTATTGAAAGAGAGAATGTAAGCACTGCTTGATTGCGGGTCACAGCTATATTTCAACAAGTAAGGCCACTTGCCTCTGTGGGTCAATCTAGCCTCCTGTACTTAGAAAATATGAATGGTTCTCCATTTATCAATGAGTATTATCTGGAGAACATGGCAAAATGAACAGATGATCACATTAGTAAAACATGAATAACCACAAATGAGATTCCAAGTTTTGTCGCCAAATCTGTTTCCAATGTATTTAATTTCTGAACCTGTTTCTTCATCAACAAAATAGCAAATGTCAACCATATGGACAACTTATCTGATTTAAACCAATGCCTTGCTGAAGCCACAGGTTCTCCCTTAAGGAGACCAAAAGTACTCTTGTGGCATTAACTCTTTGAGACAAAATACAAAACATATTTCCAGATCCTTGTCCAATAGCCATTCAAGTACTCTGGCTTCAGCTTTATTGCAGCTTTCTAGAGGTGAACAGAGGGAATGCAGAGGGTAATGCGCCCTACTGGGAATCCTCACTCTTCCCTGACATACATTTTACTGCTATAAATTAACCCTTAAGAATGGCTACATGAGCAAACAGCTGCTGTGCACTTAGATCGGATCACAGACTCAATGGCAAAGTATTTCAAAGTCTTGTTACACATCATCTCCCTGGAGAAGAGAAGCTGCAGAAGGTTGCAATAGCATCAGAATGAATAATTGAAGCAAGGCTCATTCATTATGTGCATAATGAAGGGTCACAATGCTGCCTCCCAGCCAGTTGGCAGAGCAGAAACTCACCGAATGCCTGGTAGATACATCATCTGGGGATGCTGACCCACTTCCCCAGGAGCTTTGTGGGAGTGGGTTGAGGAGATGACATTGGGATTGTCAAGTACACAGAGAACGACTGAGCTAAATTATTTGGTAAAGTACTGTATATAACAGAATCAGCTCCATACGCCAGTTTTGGGAAAACCCATGGGACTTAGTTCCCCTAGGAAGCTAAAGCGTTATTTACCATCTGAGAAACTGCCCCTCGGGACATTTTTAAGGATTCCCTTCCCTGTGGCCGGCCTTCGGGAGGTTCTTCAACCTCGGCTCCAAGCGGGGCCACGATTTCACGCCCGTCCCCATAAACTCTACCCTTTTAATAATAGTGGAAATTAGAAAAATAAAAATAAAAAGAGGGAAAAGAGAAGGGACTAATTTAGGCATTCCCTGCTATTCCGTTGGCCGGTCCAGCCTCTCCATGGGGACGGAAAGGGACAGCAGCCCACCCTAGCGTCCCTCCGCGCCCAGCTACTCCGTGGCTCAGACCCGGCAGTGCGTCCCGAGCGCCCGCCCTCGCGGGACGGACGGCCCCGCTGCCACCGCTCCGAGTGCCGGCGGCCCCCGCAGGCTCCTCCGCGGAGCAGGCCCCCTCCCGTCGCCCCGTCCGGCCGAGGAGTCCCGGCCCCAGCCCCTTCCTCTCCAGCCGCAGCCCGGCTCCGTACCTGCGGCCGCTGGCGGCGGTGGGCGGCGCGGGGATGGGCGCGGGGCCGCGGCGCTGCCTGCACACTGACAGCTCGGGAGCCGCGGCGGCAGCGCGGGGGCCGGGGCGGGGAGGGGGCTCGGGCACCCGCGGCTCCGGCGCCGAATCAGTGGCGGGAGGAGGGCCCGGGGGCGGGCGGCAGAGGGGAGGGAACGGCGGCGGCGGGGCGAGGGGTGCGGAGCCGCTGTCACCGCGGTGGCGGATCGGCTTCGGGAGGCGGCGCAGCCCGCGGGCCCGGGGCGGGGAAGGAGGGAGAGCGCGGCGCCAACGGGCGGCGGGGTGGCGCGGCGCCATGAGGGGCGGGCAGGGGTCCCGCTGCTCTGCTCGGAGGACAGGCGCCGGGGAGCGGGCCAGGCGAGTGTGCTGGCCGCGAGCCTCGGCGGGTGAGCGAGAAGCACCGTGCTCGGGTGGGCGTCTGGCAGAGAGCTGACGGAACGGTACAGCTGGGGGAAGAGAGCGGCTTTTGGTGAGACCGTGCTCTTGTCCGATCTACTCTGAAGATTTGTGGATCCAAACAGATCCACAATGGAGCGGCTGCATTATTTGGTTCAACAAAAGCTCTTATCTATCCCTAGAAAGCTCGCCTTGCTTAGGTCATCACATAACAGTGAGACTGCTGCTCGTTCCTTTGGAGGTCTGTATTGATTTTTGCTGACGGCAAAATAGCAGGCTTTGCACACTGCTGCTCTACCCTGAAGAGCAAATTTGGGGATTTGTAAAGCACGTTTACCGTTAGCCCAGTAAAGCCATCTTATGTTGACTTTCAGGAAGAACATGTGAAGATGGGAATGGTTAAAGTTCCAGCTTTTCAATACCAGGGTTCTTTCTCTCTGCTGTACCTTGTATTTGGAGAGAGATAGATGTCAATGTACGCAGTCCCGAGGGAACTGGTGTTGCTACAGCCTTTGTTGCTCTAGAGCTGCTTTCACAGGTTGTAGCACGAGAACCTTTCTCCCAGTACCTGTTTCCACCCCACTCCTTCCTTCCCTTGGTGTCATAGCTCACCTGCACCATGGTACCAGGAACAAGGCCGATCCCCACCATTTGCAGTGGCAGAATGGAAACAAACAAACAAGGGAGTGGCTTTCCTCAGATAAAGAGGACTGGCAGGTGAGATGAGCGGAATGTAATTTCATGCCATTTATGGTGTCTTTTCCCCAATAACAGATCTAAAGCAGTGTGCACAACGTTACATGCATGCCACTGTGCCTGTCCTCCCCAGCCATTTATGCACCAGTGGCTGCTTCTTCCTCTCTGTTACATCCTTATCTTTCTTCCCTACACAGCAAAGCAAAGGCAAGATGAAAAGCGGGATGAGGGATGGGAGTTACAGACTAATCCTCATGTGGTTCTGCTAGCAGCTGACAGCTGAACAAAGTATCCTGCACGGGCTCAAATCCAGCTGGTACTGCTGGCTAAACATATTTTGTGCTCTCTTAACAGCTTCTTTACACGTTTCACAGGGCAGATTACTCAACATCTAATTTACTGCTCCTGGAAGAATGAATGGACCACTGACTTGCAGGAGATGAAAATGCTCATCTTGAACACAGCCCAGACAAATGCATTGCTTTAATCATCTAGCAGTGATAGCCATGATGAGTAATTTATCAACAGTATGATAGTAATGTTTTTCTAAATGTATATGTTGCCATTGCGGTCAAAATGATTGAATACCAATATACTACAGTATTATAAGTTAGCCACATACTTAGCACTGTCCTGTGCAATCCATGGTTTTACCTTCTGCTCTGCTTCTGTTGGCTGTGCTTCTGCCTCCAGCAGTCTTTTCTTCTCATTAGGGCAATACTGCTTCATGCATTCTCTGCTTCAGCTGAGGGGAGGAAGAAGGCTGAGAAACGGGCTGTGTTCCACTCAGAGCAACCAGGGGATTTCCTCCTTTTCCTTGGAAAAGTGTTGAAACAGAGCTGAGCTGCCTTAACTGTGGATCCCTAGGAAGGAGGCAGAAGAAGGTTTAGGTAGGCAAAAATGGAGAAGGGAAGAAGGAAATGTGCTAGATCTTTCAGTGACATCTCTGGCTTCACTGCAGATGGAAGTCCTCCCATTGGGGATATATCTCTTGAAGCCCCATGGGAGTATTGTGATGCCTTTTTGTTTGTGTGTTAGTGTTGTGAAAATTCTTATGGTATTACTAAATGACAATCTTAGAAGTGCTTTTCCAGTTTAGCTCTCTTCATATTCTATAATCCTAAATCAAGGCTGCTTCCCATTGTCTTTCTTTTCTCTTTGTTAGTGTTTATTGCTGCCTTTCTGTTGAGATATCAGGTATAGCTTCTGTGACAATCTGTTAGCTGAACCCAGGTGTTCTGCTGCTAAGTAATCTTGACATGGTCTTAGCTGGAGTTCAGGCTTTCTGGTCCTGATGTATATGTACTCCTTATAATGATTTTTATTGCTGTTGATAGCACCCTCAGTAATCATTATGTGCCATATTTTTAATTTCTGAACTATATTGTTACTTCTTGTGTCTTCGTATGCAGAGGCATTTCCTTCATGCTTCATTCACTATTAATGTTATCATTCTGTTCTCTACAGAAGCAACCTTGCTCTGTTGTAAATAAAAATGGATACTTAATTTTCTAAAGTATTGGAAAGACAATTGACTTGTGAATTTTTGGTGTCTGATACATATGCCCAACTTGTAAAATTCTGTCTGTTTGAAAAGTAACTTGATATGAAGTTCAACTAAGAAAACAGTACATTAAGGAGGAATAACTTGAAGAATTAATCTTGAAATTTCCAAGTTGAGTTTACAGCCGCTAATAATACAACTTTCATGATGAGAAACACCAGAGTCAGTTATGATTCAAACAAACCTAAAGATTAAAAAAAAAATCCTGAGAACATGTAAAGACTCACTAATAGGTAAACTAACCTACAGGGGATGATTCTGAGGATAAGAGAAATAAACCTACATGGTCAGTTTTTTGACGTTGCAACAGTTAACAACGATAACCCTTAAAGTTCTTTATTAGACTGCTGGTGGAGTGTATATTTATTACTGACCTGGAAATTGCATGATCAGCAGATAGTATCACTTAATGTACACTGAAGTCTCTCAACAGCAAATAAAAGATACAATGATTATAGTAGGTAAATAGATAACAGGATTTTTTGAGAGCCCGCCTGCATATCCTGTTCTTGGAAATTATGGTATTAGATGAGCCTTTGCTTGGCTTATATCTTTTCATAGTCTGGAACTTGGTGATTCTGAGAGGTCTACTTGAGGGATATCTGCGTATTTTTTACTTTAGAAGAATGTAAAACTTGTGTCTTGGACTCACCGATCACATCAGATGTCTGGAGTCTGTACTCTAAGGGCAGAAAGTTAAGAGGAAAGAGATTCTGGGTACAGCATTTTGTTGAAATTTGGAGTAGGTCCACCTAGGAAGGCAGGTCAGAAGAAAGCATGATTCCTTTTGCAAAAAAGTTGTTCTCTGCTATATGCACAAATGATGAGGGAACAGCAATTGTGACCAGTACTGGATATTCTGTGTTCCCTTTTTGTCAACTGAAAGAGGTGCACCTGGTACAAGCCAGCAGAAATGCAGTGTGAAATATACTCTTGGGATTGAAGTGTGACTGTGGATATGGTAGGAGCAAATTAATATTCTTTAAATGACAAGATTCAGAAACCATTGGCAAGGATCATCAGAAAAAGGCTCAACAGTCAGAAAACACAAAAAAGCAGAAACCCTTGTAGCAGACTGACAACTTAAAACAAAAGGGGAAAAGATAAACAGAAAATGCTCAATTTATGAAGTGGTGCTAGACACTCAGCAAGTCACCTGCAGAGGAACTTGTCTGGCAAAGTGGAACAGAAAATTTTAGGAGGTACCTGACAGGAGTTCTTGGAAAAAGGTGAGCAATAGCTGCTGGTGACTCCATGACAAAAAGGGCAGATAAAGCCAACAGCACAGTGATAACAGGGCAGCATGCTGCAATTTTACTGCACTTGACAGACATGAATGCTCATCTTATTCACTAGAAAAGCATCCAGAAGGATGTAACATTGACAACAGAAGAGGAAGATAGAAAAAATATTGTTTGAACTCAGTGTATGGCACACATAAGCTGTCAAAAGAATTTAAAGAGAAGAAACATTTTGCTTGTTCATCTTCTAATGCTAAAGTCTGAGGAACCCGGATAAAAAATGACAGTTTTCCACTTTAAAAAGAAATGTGATATGACTGGCAAGACTGAAGTGTCAGGACAATTCTCATGACTGGAATACTGAAGGCTCACATAACCTAAGTAGGAAAGAAGGTTATAATTTCAAGAAACTTAAAATTCTACCAATCATTTCTCTATGACCAAAGGGGAAGAAAACGTCAAAAATTCTCCTGAAGAAAAACTAAGCATCTTCCCTTATATTTGAAGTAGTTAACAGACATCAGAGAAATGTACGGCTCTGAATTCCACTGGGACACCTGCAGACGCATACACAGGCCTTGGGTTAATGGATTTCACAGTCAAATCTATCTAACTCAGCTAGAAAGCAACCAACCAACCAATTGCTTTAAAACAGTTTTCCTAAGAACTAAATCCTATCTGAAAACTGAAAAAGAAAACAACACCTTATATTTTCTTGTCTCTTTTTCCTTAGTCTTTGTCTCTTTTCCTTGCAACCATTCTGGAAGATTTAACTCTTTCAGATTTAATCCTAGGATACAAGTTTAAAACTTAATCAAGTCTAGAATGCTTATACTCTATAATAAAGCTCCAGTTTCAATTTCTAAAGATGAGAATTATTAGCATATACAGGCAGGAAAGATTAACAATACCACTATTCTTGTATCCATGCAAAAGTCCAAACAAAATTCCACAATTAGTGAATGATAACTACATAAGCAGAGATGCAATTACTTTTTTAATGCACAAATTATTAACTAAAACTGTATCCAGTGATAAATAAATTCAGATTTTTTTTCAGTGTTACTAAAATTTGCCTGAAGTTAAGAACACATAGAGCTTTCTACAAAATAATCTTCCCTGTCCAAATGAAAATAATATACTTCTATACTTATGCACACTATGGAACCATATTTAAGCCATCCTGTGCTCAGGTGCAGGATTTACCTGTTTAGGTGCACTTATGATTTTGCTACAAGTTTCTTGAATTAACTTCTGAATTTCTTGGGCATTTTCCCACAATAACTAAAATTACGTTTCAAGTCTGTTTACCTGAAAATATGAGCATTAAGCTCTTCATACTCACTCAAAGGTTAAAACTGGAATAGAAAATGACTCAAAAACACTGAAAGAAATCTTTGCAGGATCGGTCAACCTTTCAGTTACTCAGTTTTTCATTATTTTTATTTGACAATCTGCATATTGTCAGAAATCTCCTCATATTGCTCACAGCTACGTGGGTTTAAGATTTGTTTGTTCACATTTTAAAATCTTTTTCAAATTAACGATTTTTTCTTACTATCAACTCTCCCTTTAGCATGCTTGGGATTCAGAATTTTTCCTTGTAAGCTGAAATAATAAAACAAACATCCTGCAAAGCTGTCTTTCCTGATAACGATGCACCTGGGAAATTCTGAACCTCTGCAAATATTGCTGAACAAAGATAAGCAGTGCTGCTCTAAGAAGTAACCTCTAACTCTTGACAATTTACTGGTCCTCAAATTGGACCTCAAATGTTTCATATTGAGTATTTAAGCTGTTACATGATGACTTGCATTAGGAAAAAGATTTGTCTGAAAAATAGTCAAAGGTAAAAAAGGTGATTCATCATCTGGAAAAGTTCCCTGCTTCTGCTCATTGTGCAGTTGTCCCAGCATGTGTCAGAAATTGGGCATGGTCAAGGACAGCCGGAGGCAGAACTGTCATTAGAAGAAATGTTTGTCAGCTGACAGCCTCAAACACACACAGCCTCCCACAGATATCATTTTAGGCTTAAATAAGCCTTCTGGATATGCTTAGGTAGCAGTTTCCAGTAATTTTACATGGCTGCAAAACTCCTCTAAATCTGAAATCCCAAGCCAAATGATCAGCATCATACACACTACAGCTTTTCAGGATAGCTCTTTTCACTTCCAGAGTTCTCAGTTTAGCACTTAACTGTTTCTATGGAAATAACCTACTATTTTGCAAGTGTATTAAGTCACATTATTTTGGATGAATAATGACACAACAGAATTGTCTGCAATAAATTACCCTTCTATACTACCCTGCCCACTCAACAGAACACAGCTACAAAGTCTCATTTCTGGAGCAATTATTTCTTTACTATATATTTTCATTTTACATATATATATTTACTACATTTGCTGTGAAATAGCAGACTCTTTCTTCCTTTCGCTGTTAAAGTTGTTTTTGATTGAACCCCGTACCACCATAACAAAGTCCAAGCCACTCAATACATGTATGTTCCTGAAAAGGACGAGTCATCAGACAGCAGCAGCATCCTCAACTGCATTACTTTATGGACATTACAGACCCAGCAATAAAAGGTGAGTATAATTGCTATCACCAGAGAAATTTAGGAGTGTATGGGTACAGCACTTTGAAGACTTATTTTCCACTTTACCCAGAGGAGTTCCTTAAAAACTCATCCCATTCAGTGAAATCTTTGGTGAAAATCCAATTTGTGATACAAATGAAATAAAGACAGTTTATCTCTGATTCTGTTTCTGTATTTTCTGATTAGCTTTTGACTCACTTGGCCACTGCAACATGGGGCTGCAAGTGTTTTCCAGATATACCAGGGAAACCTTTGTGAAAGCCTGAAATACTATAGAAGATTACCTGTAATGTACTCTATGCACATGTTTCTTGGTGCCATGCATATTACTAAAGATTAGGTCCCACAGAAATATACTGACTAATAAAAAACTGAAAACTGAAACTCTGAAATTGTGAAATTAAACTGCAGTAAGAATTTTAGTTCAGCTCCCTTTGGTTCTACTTTCTGCTGTTAACC